ATATTGATTGGTAAGTTTTTTTTATACAGTAGGTGTAAGACGTCTTCGACTTAGATGCGATCGAAAGCCCTTGTCAGTTCTATAAAACATAGATATGCTGGTTTATTGTACTCGATGGTCTTTTCTGTGATTTGTCTTAGTACAAATACATCGTCTACTCAGGATCTTTCGGATCTGAATCCTTGTTCATCTGATAAAGTTGTTAGTTTATTGATTTTGTTGGTTAGGACTTTTGTGGTAAGCTTAAGTGCGGTGTTCAGTAGATTTATACCTCTGTAATTGTTGGGGCTTCTTTATCTCCTTTCTTGAACATTGGTATCATTATGCTGTTTCTCCATGCGTCTGGTATCTTGCAGTGTAATATTAGCTTTTGTATAAGTTTTGTCATCTCTAGGGTTATACTTTCTCCTCCGTATTTTAGAAGCTCGTTGGTTATTCAATCTGGTCCTGGTGACTTTCTATTTTTGAGTGAATTTATGACTATTTCTACTTCCTGAAAACTGATTTCTATTTCGTGTCTTAATTCAGGTACGTTATTGTGTTGATTATTATTTTCCTTTGCTTTAAACAGTTCCGTCAGGTATCTTTCCCATTCGTTTGCTGGTATGTTATTGTATTCCTTGAAGGCATTGCTGATAATAATATTTGTGAAGAATCAATAAAATCGGATATTGCAGTTACATATGAAATACAAGTGATTGGGAATTCTGACGATTCTGATTATATTTCTCTGAACCACAGATAAAACGTACAAAGAAAAAACCAGGCAAAAATAGTAAATCCAAATTTGTCTCAAGCTGTAACAACAGATATTCATTCGTGCTCAGTAGTAATTCAACATTAGTCTAATTGATATTTAGACAATATAAAAGCCAACCATGTAGACAAGTCATATATTGAAGTTTTTTCACTCTTTTTGATAAAAAAGTAATTAAAAACATTCTATATTTTACAAATATTTCCAGAATAACCGTCACAATTTTGAAATGAATAACATAGATTAAAAAAAAATTATTAGCATATGTATATTATCTGGTTTACTCTCTTTAAGTTGATATGCATTGGTCAAAGGATGAGGATAATGAAGTGCATATTATAAGAGAAAGCATGAGCCGACATAGATTTATATTTATAATAGTAAAGAAACCGCTACATCAGTGTCACTTAGTACATGGACGTCAATCTAAATTTGCTTTACCAGATGAAACCAGATTCGACAATATTGGCCACATTACAAAAAGGGACGACAGTGCAAAAATGTAGGATGTGCAAAAGTAATACTATTTATTTATGTAAAAAGTGTAGAATGCATCTACACCCTGAATGTTTCGAAAATTTTTACATTAAAATTTAATTTACATTTAAGATACAATATGTTCCTTTATTAAAAATTGTACTGTTTTCCTTGAAAATGAGAAAAAAAATCTTTTTGGTTGTAAATTGCCTCTTGCCTCTTTGATTGTGAATGTTTGCAGTTGTCCTTAAATAATTTTTCACGTTGATGTGAAGTAAATGTTTTAAACTTAAATCTAAAAAAATGTTTTAAAATCACGTTTAGTAAAACGCAGGCTTCTTTTAATAATAATTACACACTTAATGGTACGGTTCTGCAAGAGATACGTCAGATACGAGATTTGGGTATAACACTGGATAGAAAACTCAGCTTTAATGATCATATTAATGACATAACTTTACGTGCCCTTAAAATGTTAGGATTTATCCAGAGAAATTCAAAGGACTTTTCAGTTTTTACGTTTAAAATATTATATTGTTCGCTAGTGCGATCAATTATAGAATACTGTAGTATTATATGGTGTCCTTTTTATAATACCCAGAAAACTCAATTAGAAAAAGTTCAAAACAGATTTTTAAGGATATGTGGTTATAAAATGGGTTTAAGACGTGGAGACTATAATTACAGTTTTATTCTTAATCAACTTAAAATGAACAAATTAGAGACAAGAAGAACTGAATTCGAATTATATTTTTTGCATAAGCTTCTAAATGGATTTATTAATTGCCCTGAAATTTTGGGTTTAATCTCATTTAATATACCTATGCGAAGAACCCGTAATTCTGACCTGTTTTTTGTAGATTTCCATTCTACTAATTATGGATTTAATGAAGTAATTTCTAGAATGTTACGTACGGCGAACAATTACCAAACAGATTTAGAATTATTTAATACTTCAACTGCATCATTTAAAAAACATGTTAAAAAACTGTTGTAGCTAGCTTAAGTATCTTACTGTATTTTATACATATTGTACAAAAACTGAAAAAGGGTTTAGCCCGTCAATAAATAAATAAATAAATAAATAAATTAGAACTAATTTATGTGTTTTTAATTCAATCTAATAATTCTAATACTATATAAAGAATAAACTGGCCTCAAATTTACTTTACTTACCTCAAAACTGTTTTAAAGTTAATAATAAAATCTATTTAATAAATATATTCCCAAGAATACACTACACTTATGCACATAAGTATATAATCTGGAAGGAAAAAAGTAAGATATCATATTTCTCTCATTAACATTCTTTCTAAGATCGTAAATATATATAGACCAGCAAAATATTGATAAGTTTACCGATGTTGCAAACTATTCAATAAACTTTATCGCATCATGAATGAATCGCACCAATTTATATCGTTACGGGGGCAAATTTATCTTATTTTTGTTAAAATATATATATCAACTCTACGTTAAAATCTTTATTAGAGAGTAGGTATATTATACAGACACTAATTATATAAAAAGAAGATTTAGTTTTTTAGACAGATATAGGTTAAGTAGAATGTAGAACGTGGTAGAACGTAGAACACTGGTAAAGGGATATTTCAACATTGTACAATTAAATTTAACGAATAAAGCTTGGAAGAACGGTAAATGGTGTATTATTAAATGTAGAATTATAGACAACAAATCTAAAAATTTTTTCGCTTATTTACATGGGCGAAGCATACACAATAAAAATGACTCCGGTAAGAATTTACTAATGAAATTTTACATGGTTGCCGCTACCGTTTAGTTCAATTTGTAGATTAGTCACAGTTTAAAATTATTTAAAAAATAATTAAAAGCTACATTCTGGTAGGCAACAGGGGAGAAAATGCATTCTCTCTCCTCATGCCGACTAGAATGTAGTTTCGACTAAAAATAAAAAAAAATTAAATAATTTTAAACTGTTTGTCCTTCTTCAATGTAGTGTTATGTACAATTTTATGTTTATGACATTTTGCAATTGTTGGATAGCCCAAAATTGACGAAATGCCCCTGCAGATGCTCTAGGGAGCAAAAGTACTTGGGCAAGATTTAATTAATAAAATATATATATATATATATATATATATATATATATATATATATATATATATATATATATCAGTATGTTGGAAATATCGGGTATGTGGTCTATATTAAAATAAAAATCTTTGTTTTTTCTAAAACTCAATATTTCGCTCTTTATTTAAAAGCTTCATCAGGAGTAACTGTAAAAAACAAACATTTCAAAAAACTGACGTACACTTAGATTTACAATACTTACAGACTTAAAAGATTTCACACATAAATAAATTTGATATTAAAATAAACATTTTTTGATAATATATAAGTTTGTTAAAATGTAAATATATATGAGCACGTTCGTTAACAGTAAGTAAATGAGATGGAAACAACTAAAAGTTATTTCAAATGCAAAAACTAACAATGTAAGAAAACATTAGAGGAATATTATTTCTTTAATTAATCATTAAGGCTAGTTAGTATGATTAATCCTTAAGGTGAGTGAGTTTTAAATTTTCCATTTTCAAAAACACCGGTCATCTGTTGGACTATAACAATGCTCGTATTTTGGCACAGACTGACAATTACAAAAGTAGGTTATTTTTGGAGATGTACCACATCAACAAAAATAAACAAACTTTAAATTATAAAACAGACACGGGGCAATTAAGCAACATATATTGCAATATATTGAACAAAATTTAAAACGCACTCACCTTAATGATTAATCATACTAACTAGCCTTAATGATTAATTAAAGAAATAATATTCCTCTAATGTTTTCTTACATTGTTAGTTTTTGCATTTGAAATAACTTTTAGTTGTTTCCATCTCATTTACTTACTGTTAACGAACGTGCTCATATATATTTACATTTTAACAAACTTATATATTATCAAAAAATGTTTATTTTAATATCAAATTTATTTATGTGTGAAATCTTTTAAGTCTGTAAGTATTGTAAATCTAAGTGTACGTCAGTTTTTTGAAATGTTTGTTTTTTACAGTTACCCCTGATGAAGCTTTTAAATAAAGAGCGAAATATTGAGTTTTAGAAAAAACAAAGATTTTTATTTTAATATAGACCACATACCCGATATTTCCAACATACTGATAAATTGTTTTTTGGTCGAAATAATCACATTAAATATATATATATATATATATATATATATATATATATATATATATATATATATATATATATATATTAAAAGATAGACTGCTCGTTGCAATATTGCAATAGCAGCTCGTTCCCCCAATGCAATAGAGAAAACTAACACAAAGCAGTACCTGCATCTCTTTCTAAATTGGCGAGATTTATCTACCACGTGATCTAAATTGCCATTGAGAAAGTCACGTGGTTGATAAACCTGGCCCATTAGAAAGAGATGCAGGGAACGCTTTGCCTCAATTTTCTCTGTCTCGCTGGGGAACGCAACTATATTGCAGCAGTCAGTCTACCTTGTATTACATGTATATGGTTAAACCACCCATTTTGGAGGTTATGTTAGTTATTTATATTCATACATTTTTGTGAAGCTTATGATCACATAATTTGATATTTTTGTCAACCTTTCAAGTCAATTTTTTTTAATATCCTAGTCCTTATTTGAAATTTGTTTTTAGTTTTTTAATACTCAATGGAGTATTTTGTAAGTATTACCAAATCTGTACATCAGAATTCTATTGTTTTCATAGTTAAGCTTACCTTGTTCTATTCATAATGTCCACTCCAGATTGTTGCTTTATGCAGGTGGTAACAAAATCAAAGGGAATCTGTTTCTTCTTCTTGCACTCCCGCTTTATTTCCTGGACAGTTTCTTCATCATGTAAGACGTAGGGACATTGTTCCTTGCAGCACTTCAACATTTTCTCAGTTGTTGCCTAAATATAAATAAATAAGTAAATATATTATAACAGTATGAGTACAGTTATCAGTTGAATCAGGGGCGGCACGTGAGGTAGTGCCATAGAGTCATGGCACTACCTAGCTAACTATGCAGAAACATATTTTTTTATCTTTAAAACATCTTAATGTCTGTTAATTATTTTGTGTGTATTTCTTTTTATCTTGGTATCAAAATACAAACTGTTTGTATCTTGAGAACGATTTCTGAAGTGGAAATTGAAACGTCAGTAAACGTATTTTTATCTTTAATTGTGGCTTATTCCCAGTTAAATAATTAAAGAGTCGGTAACGGATGGAAATTTCAAAATTATGTTTTATATTACGAATATATTGCAAAATGTAGAAGCAAAAGTTTTACTAGAGAAACTATATTTAGGAAGGTGTGAAAAGAATACTTACCTGAACATAATCACAAATACTGGTGTGAATGTCAGAGGCTGCTTGCTGAAGTCGCTCTTCTACGGGATTGGGCCGTTTATCATCTCTATGTTGGGCGACCTCCTGCAATCTCACCAATAATTGCCTAGCATTTTCAGCATCTTGTATCACGCCCGTAGCGTGATTAACATCATTTGTAGAAGCTATTGACTCATTAGTTAAATTCTTGATGGCATCTTGGGTTTGTTGTACTAATCTTTCCAGGGCCTAGTCAGTAAATAGAATTGTAAGTATTTTATTATAAAACTTCAATAAAACAAGATATCTGTACCTGCTGTTTTGATGTTAGCAAGAACCCAGGTTGCATCGGAAAGCTTTTGAGGGATTGTTGTTTCTGGGAAACGTTGCGATTGAGCAAGTCTTGAATTTTCCTCGTAATTAACTCTGTTCTTTCAGCGTTGGCCTTCATGCACGGAGTAATATCATAAATTGGAAACGGCATGTATTGAACTGTTGAGTTACTCTCCAAAGCATAAGCTATATCATGATAACCCTAAAATAGACCGAAACTATAAATATACTTTGGATGGAACGGGTATAAATAGATAAGTGTCAGTTTACTTTAAATTTTACAGGGATGCTTCCAATCTAAATAGGTCACTCCGTATATCTGTATAGAAATACATGGTCGAAACTTAATTAATAAAGGGTTGTCTACTGACCTGCAAAGTAATATTGTTCCGATCATAAATGATACTCTTCAGCTTGCTGTTGATCTGCAACGCTTTTGCTAACAATCGAGCTCCAGAGTCTCCGATCAAATTTCCGCTTATATCTAGCACCTCCAATGACTTATTATCTCCGAGAGCATTCAACAGATTATAAAGATCCCCGCGCAATCTACAGTCGGGTATTATCAGCGATTGCAGTAGACATTCATCGTCTTGAACTATCTGAACTACCGAATCCATGATCAACGACATGTGTTTTTTCATACTTCGGGCCATGTTTAAATGTTTTAGAGACTTATTTTTACTTATTGCTATCACAACATTGCACAGATCTGAATCCATATCTAAAATGGAATAATTATTTAAATTTATTCATACATGTTAACTAAAATGGATTGGTGAACAAAGTTTACTGCTGATAGTGGTAGATTCTTTGTACTAACTATACATTTGCATATAAAACATACTTCAGATAGAAGAATTGAACCGATTATTTCTGAAGGGGCTTAAGTGCTATTTCAGCCATTTTTCTTTTAATATGCGAAATGAATTACTGGCACAAAACCTACCGTTTTGTGTAGAAATGAACTAAATTCGATTATTCCTTACTTGCATTTCTGTGTGAGAAAATAATGGTTTAGCACAGAATGGACCACCTTAGTCCCTTTAAGAAATAAATATTTAAATTTGTGTCATGCTGTATTTGACCTTGCACTGTGTTTTGGTTTAAAATGCAAGCCTAGTGTCCCGAAATATTTTCAGTGATTTACCGGCTTCGATACTGTGTGTAGTTAAGAGTAATATAATCACATTTTTCTGGCAATATGTCTAGTTCGGACGACAATAGAAGCACTAAAAGTGAAGGGGAGCCACCTCAATCAGATAATCTTAGAAAAAGACGGTGAGGTGTGAGAAATGATGATAATTACCACAGAAATTTAATCAAAAAGGATAGGGTCAGTGGTACTGCGAATACAGATTATAAAGGCAAGATGGTTGCTGCCAGGCAAATCGGAGGTGCTGCAAGTAAGTTAAATAAAGTTATATATTGAATAGCCTAGGTATATAGATGTGTTATTTTTTAGATGTAAAATGCAGTGTTTTACTAAGCTAAACGATGAGCAAAAGCAAACAGTATTTGATAACAACTACAAAATGCAAAACAATGACGAACAGGATACATATCTTCAAGGCCTGATATATCAGAAAAATGTAGCAAAACGAAGAAACCAGAAAAATGAAAACAAAATTAAGGTATAAGGTATAAGAGTATCTTTTGATCCTTTTATTCGCGTTGGAGATCTTAACGTAAAAGTGTGTTGTAGGGCTTTTTTAAATTTGAATTCTGATCTGAAAAAATAATAAAGCGAATTCGTTGATTAAAAACAATCTGACTCCGTCATAGTATAAAAATTATGTACGAAATGTTTAGATCCAAGTATCCTGAAACGAAAATTAAATACAGCTATTATGATACATTTTTTCACGAAAACTTTACTTTGAAATTTGGCCGTTCTCAAATAGACACATACGTAAAATGTGAAGAGTGGAATTTAAACATCAAAAGTCCCTCTCTGGGAGATGCCTCAAAAAAAGTTGCTGTTGCAGAATTGTTGGTACAGACAAAAAGGACCAACAAGTTTTATACGAATGTAAAGGATATTGTTAAAAAGCGTCACGATAGAAATAACGTGGTAGGGCTCGCATTTGACTATATTCAAAATGTTCATCTACCACATATACCTGTACAAGAAGTCTTCTATAAGACCCAACTAACGGTTAATGTATTTTGCATACATAATCTTAAAAGAGAAAATTCTTTTTTCTATATTTATCACGAAGGACAGGCCAATAAGGGCCCTAATGAAGTATGCACATTTATGTTTGATTATATAAAAAATTACATACCACCCAACATAAAAGAGTTGAAACTTTTTTGTGACAAGTACATTGGGCAAAATAAGAATCACACTATTGTTACGATAATTATGACTCATAACTGTAAACATATTCTTTCTAATTCTATTTTGTTCCAGTGAGTTCGCCGCCCTTCTTAACACATTGCCTGCCACGTCACCCAAATTTGACTGACAGAAATTTTTTGCTGTAGGCCATGTCGGTCACATATGAGTGACAGCGTTGTTTCACTGGGGGGCACAGGCATTTTCTAATAAAGTTCGTGGGAGGCCACAGCAAAAAAAGAAGATATAGGGAAAGGTTTTTATGTCTAGATTATGTTTTCAGCAAAAAATTATTGCATGGTAAAAAAACATTAGTTTTGTTTATTTAAAATCGTCACCCAATTGTGACTGACGTGGCCTGCCCGGAAACTTATTTTGGTAGAGGCCATGTCATTAGCATTCACGTGACGATTTAAAGGTTAATTGTTGTGAAAATAATAGGTATTTTTATCTTAATTTACAATTTGGCTTTGTTGAAAAAATACAATGTCCAAGCGAAAGTATCAAAAGTATTTGACAGAGCAACAATTGGAAGCTGCTTTATTAGAAAGTGATGAAGATGATCAATTACAATACAGTGAAAGCGATACGGGTAGCGACAATGATAATTTTGGGTTAGATGATTCAGACGAGAAAATAAAAACGATCCTCACAGTTATAATCCCCAGTGGTCAGAATATACAGGATGTCATAAAACTTTTTCTTTTCAAGGTAATATGAATATAAATAATTTTCTGAATATGAATATAAATAATTAAAATTTTTTAGGACCTTCTGGACTAAAAATTGACAACCCTAAAGATATAACAGCTTATAAGGCATACTGCTTGTTTGTAGATGATGAGATTATAAATAATATTGTGGAATTTACAAATAAATATGCAGCAAGGGTAATCGAGAACACTAGAATACAACGTGGGTCTAGATTAACAAAATGGATTCCTACGAATAGTACTGAAATAAAAAAATGTCTGGGCCTCACTTTATGGATGAGTCTGGTAAAGATAGGAAATATTCAAGCTTACTGGTCTACCAAGAGTATTTATAATGTTCCCCTGGCCCCTAAAATAATGTCTCGAAACAGATATGAATTGTTGCTGAAATTTATACATTTTACAGATCCAGAGACACCTACTATAAGTTGTATTGATAAAATCAAATCTTTGATTGATGCATTGAATATAAAATATCAAAACGTGTACAGTGTACACCCCGGGTGAGAACTTTGTTATTGATGAAACTTTGGTACCATGGAGAGGCAGATTAATTTTTCGTCAATATATTCCCAATAAAGCCCACCGATATGGGATAAAAGTATTCAAACTTTGTGCAACAAATGGATATACCTGGACTACGAGCATTTATGAAGGCAAAGCAGTCACATTTGACACAAATTTAGGTTTGGGTCATCATGTGTGTCTAAAATTGTCGCAGGTCCTTCTAAATCGAGGTCGTACGTTGTTTGTTGATAACTTCTACACTAGTTACCCCTTAGCTTTATCCCTCTTAAATCAAAAACACGCATTTAATCGGTACTGTTAGGACCTCAAGAAAACATTTTCCAAAAGAAGTTATGATGAAAAAGCTGAAGAAAGGTGAATCTGTAAGTAAAGAAGACGAAAATGGAATAGTAATTCTTAAGTGGCGAGACTCTCGTGACGTAAAATTACTGTCTACCAAACATGCTCCTGACCTGATCGATACCTCACAAAATAAAGAGAACACAACTACATCGACACCATCAACTAGTAAACAACTTAAGAAAAAGAAGAGAAAGGACTCTAAAATAAAACCAAGTATGGTAGTAGCTTATAATCGAAGAAAATCTGGCATAGACATATCTGACCAAATGTCTTCTTAGTGAGAGCGCCCACCAAAGTGGCGTGGCAGTGGCAAGTAGCAACTAGCACGCGTCTAGCATAATGTAACCAATCCTAACGAATGATTAGAGTGAATGGCGTTACTGTCATTTTGGTGTAAACTGAATCATTCGTTTTCATTGGTTACATTATGCTAGACGCGTGCTACTTGCTACTTGCCACTGCCACGCCACTTTGGTGGGCGCTCGCCCTTACGCGACAACTTTAAGAAAAGGGGTAAAGTGGTTCAGGAAGCTGGCCATGGAATATCTTCTCGGCATTAGTGTTGTCAATGCTTACCTGGTAATGAAAATGGTTTCAAAGAAAAAGAAGATGCAAATATGAAAGTTCAGAGAACAACTGGTTCAGCAATTGTTAGACATAGAACCAAGAGAAGAACCTATAAAAAAACAGGACATGCATTGACCAAAGACAAAAAAATTCGTCGTATTTGCAAGCCTTGTTACAGACATTTGATTGGTTCTCTAGGAAGATTGGAAGCCAGAAAGAAAGTGAAAAAAGTAATGACCTATTGCTGTGGTTGTCCTGATCAACCTTATATGTGCATGGACTGCTTTAAAAATATTCATACGTAATAAATTTATATCTTCCTGTTTTTGTTTCACTTTTGTATTGCAAAAATAAAAACTATTTTTTTCTTTTAATTTTTCATTATTTTTTCTTGGTGCGCCACCAATGTGTTAATGAAGTATTACTGGACGCCACAACAACAAAATTGTATATAAAAATCCATATACCCTCACGTAATTTTGAGTTATAGAAGGGCATTCGAAAGCTATCCTGTCAGTCATATATGACCGACATGGCCTCACCGTAAAAATTTCCGTCGGTCATATCTGTCTGACACGGCCTCCAGGAATTGAACAATTTTTTTGGTGTGGCGCCCCATGAAACTTTTTGAGAAAGGCGTGTGGCAGGCAATGTGTTAAGGAACCGGTCTGTTAAGGGGTTTCCTTCCAAACTAGTCGAGAAGGTCACCGTCCGAATTTCGAAGGAATTCTCGATTAACTGTATTTTGTATTTAAGGAGGAAATTTTGTTGAAATGAGTCAGTTTTTGAATATGAAGTCGAGTTTTTAGATCTAGATATAATTGTACGCGGAAATAAATATAAATAAATATTTAAAATAATAATATTTAAAGACTTTAATAAATTTGTAAGTGTTATAAATAGAACCTTTGATAATAAATAAAGACAATAAATTAGAATTAATAAAAATACTACACTATTATAAGATTAGAAGGCACTCCTTCTTGCCCTGTGACAGGGATTTCGGTGTCATAAAAAGCTACTAAAAAATTTGACAGAATATTTGAAATTCATAAGTACATAGAAATTATTATTAATTCAAGTACAAAAGCAAGTTTACTGTAAAAGAAGTTCAAATTAGTGAGATTCTTGATTTTAAGCAATGGTGGCCTAAGTATTATAAAAAGACAAGCTTGTCCACTGAATCTCAACAAATAAATGTTCCTCAATCTCAAAAAACTCATTTTGCAATTTCGAAATTTACCAATATGTATATAGCTGCGAAACTCCAGGTTAATATATCTCGTAAAATATTACTATTACTGTCGTAAATACTTACTGTTTTCAGAAATATCAAGACTAGAGATACACCTAACGCCGTGCACACACGATTCCAGAACGTGTGCCCCCTGACTGCCGAGTCCGCAATTGCTAATATCTAACGTCATTTCTTTGGTAAATTCGTTACAGGCCAATCCCAACAATAAATTTCTAAAACACAAATCAAAAATAATGTCTTACTTTAAATACCGATAATAAAAATACTTATAGCATATTATTTATTAAATCGAATTAAATCATCTAAAATATGCAGATGATATAATATTAGTATGAAGAATTATCAACACGGCCTCCTTTTTAAAAAATAAAAAAAAGATTTAGGTATTTGAAAAAGATTTACTGAAATAAGTTACAACTGTATGAACTTTATATGCTCATAGATATATAAATATTATATATAAAAAATATTAAAATACCTTTATTTTACAATAGTAATGAAATTTCTCCGTATCATAACAAGCCTCCACAATTTCATCAATTAAAAAAGAAGTTGTTTTGCGAAGTTTAGAATATATATCAGGATTTAACCTCACCAGTCTTCCGGGTTAAACCGCGTTGATTATCATTGTGTCGAGCTTTCGACATTATCTTCGATGTCTTCTTCAGGGCTTCCTAGTCCCTGACACTACTACACTGATCACTTATCAAAGCATTACCATGTACTACAAAGCGGTAATGCTTTGATAAGAGATCAGTGTAGTAGTGTCTGGGGACTCGGGAGATTGAGACCTCGGAAGCCCTGAAGAAGACATCGAAGATGATGTCGAAAGCTCGACACAATAATAATCAGCGCGGTTTAACCCGGAAGACTGGTAAGGTTAATTCCTGTACTAGTATTAATCTTAGCTCTAGGTTTAATTGTAATAACGGGGAAATCTTTCGGAACATATATTGGAATAATAATTAGATATACAAGAAATTAGCATAGTAATATTATGACGTTTAATTAATAAATTTACTTAAATAGTAATTGAAGACATAATTTATAAGTTATATACTAGCGAATATTAATAAAAAATAATTATATGAGGGTATTTTTTAAGAATTTAGCATAAGAATTAAGTTTAAGAAGTTTTTTTTTATTTTATTTAATAGTAGATATGTTTAAGTCAGCCATGTTCATATGCAACCAAATATACACTGTTTATTTTTGACATTTAGATGGGAAGTGGGGTTATTTATTATTTGGAATTTTAATTTAAATATTATTACGGATGTAAAATAGTATAAACAGTATACTGAGGCAATACATATAACTGATGACCGCGACCAGTGCAGAAATATTATCAATCAAACTGTTCGAGCTGCTGAAACCCAATTATGAACCACAACATATCTACTAAGATGTTAATGACTGTGATAATGATGAAAATAGTGATAATATATTAATGTAAGATGTTTAGTGTATATATATAATAGTGTATTCCGATCTGAGAACCTAAATGTCCGTTAAATTATCTATAGAAAGCAAGGAATTTTCTGGAAAACGTCAATATGACTATTTGCATAGTAGAGGATTCGAGAACTTTCATCTATGGATGAGATGAAAAGTTTAGAACATGATTTCTTTCCCGATGATTCTGGAACCATGAAAAGATATATAAACCATGTAATTTGAAGCAAGAGGGGATTATGAAGTCAATTACAGATGATTATTAAGTAAGTTATAGTTGATTCATTAAGTTAGTAAAGTTAGAAGAAGGCATTAAGTTACAGGAAGTCATTAAGTTACAGTAAATTATTAAGTTAGTTATTTAGAAGAAGTCAGAAATTAAATTACAATTGATTGAGTGAGAAGAATTTATGAAGTGATTAAGTTAAATTAAGTTAGAAAAAAGGATTAAGTGAGGAGAAGTCAGTCAGTCAGGTACAATTAAGTCCTTAAATTAGATTTATCAAGAAAGTTAGTTCAATACAGTTATAATTAAATTAAATAAGAAGAAAGGATTATCTTGGAAGAATTCATTAAGTCAGATACAATTGGAGAGTAAATTAATTCAACAATATAGACATTTCAATACAGGAGTACAATATATTATATGGAGATTACAAGGATAACCCAGGCTGATTAAGAAGATATTTAGTGGTGATTTTAAATTTGATTTTGGAAAACTTTAGGCTTTCAAAGACAGAAAGGTACCAAATTTTGTTAATATAATTTAATAATTGTAAGAATTTCAAATTTAGATAGGTTGTTTTAAATTTAAATTGTTTATATTAGATATATATGTATGTTTCATAATAGTTATAATAAAGATAATTTAAAAAAGTACTTACAAACTAATTCTTTGAGAACCGCGATAAAAACCCTATACTCATATTTTATTTTAAATACTCATTGCTCATATACTAAACAAAACATCATAACTATATATATATATATATTATATATATATATATATATATATATATATATAAAAGATCACACAGGGTTATCAATATATATATATATATATATATATATATATATATATATATATATATATATATATATATATATATATATATATATATATATATATATATATATATATATATAAAGGATCACTCAGACGAGTGGTGGGTTCTTATATCAGTCTCAAGGTGGAGAAATAAAAAGACAAAGTTGATGGCTACTTTATCTATTTTTGAAGACGTTTCGTTTTCGTACTCTGAAAGCATCATCAGTTCATCTAAAAAGTACAATATGAAAACCACATAAGCATGGAAAAGATGTTATAAGTGTTACCTTAAAAAGATATGTAGCAGTCAATGATATTAAAAATGTGAGAAAGCTCAAGTAAATGGACATTATAGGGTAATATTGTATAAACAATCAATTAAACTAACAACAATGACCAACTTATTAAAATTTAGCACAGCAAAAGAACATGTGGTCTAATATACATGTAATTATAATTTAACATTAAACAGAGAATGAAGAACTAAGAATATCATAGATTCACTTCCAACGATATATGCAATATTTATGGTTTGATTTTAACCTTTGGTAGCATTATTAAAGAGATTAATATTCAAATTTAAAAAATATAGTGTATAATGAAGTTACCAATCAAAGCCTCACGACTGCCGCCGGTAAAATGGCGTTAGATTGAAGCAAACGGCGCCAACAACGTGAAAAGACAGCCAACCTTGAGGTCATAAAACTACGACATAGCAAGAAGGTTGAGATACCACCCTAATTATAGAGCGGTGTATTTGAAAAAGTAAAGTGAGTTTGGATGATAACCTGTCTGTAAGAAACCAAACAATGAAAGAAATTGGTATTGATAATATCAATCTCTCCCATCAATCAGCTTAGAACGAACAAATAACGAAAGTCAGTTCAAACTCGCGCGTATATGAGCGCGCGCAAGATTCAAGGTCACCGGAAAAAAGTTACAACTTCTAAAGTACTATGAGTCTGCGTGACTCAAGCTCACCAGTTATGGGTTAAATGTCATGAAATTATCAAAGAACTAGTAAAAGAAGCTACAAGTGTAGTGCTAAAAATGAATTATAGTAAAACGAAGACGATGAAATGTACACAACAAAACATAACACAAAACTATATTAAAATATAACAACATATAACATTTTAGGTAAGTGTGTATATTTCGAAAGCAGTTTATTCAAGAAGATGTGCCAAACATTTGATTGTCTGTACTCATACAATTTTTTTTGAACGCTCTACAGGTTAACCCAATTGGAATATACAGCATGGGGGCAAAATTATACGATGAATTAATTTTTTCAAGAATAGACTATTTTGGTGACAATCCAAAACAGATCGAATTTTATCTATCTATCTGGGTGTATTCGTCGTGTATCTGGGAAGTCATCAATGATTTTTTTAAACGATAATAGGAGGCGTGTGCTAGATCTTTTGAAAGGATAAGTTCGGTTAGGTTGAAAAATAGTGGCGCTTAACCACCCTTCCACTCGACCTAAGAGGTCGATTATGGCTACTCCATATGTCATGGAGAGAGGGCCAGTATGACTTCCATTATCGTTGAAGCTTATTCAGCTTCTCTGCAGTGATCTTTTGTTGGTATTAAGACCACTATATTAGTGCTTCATACGTAATCATAGGTCTGACTAGAGTAATATATAGCCAGATTGAGTTCTATATCCCATGATTTGCCACATATCCTTCGACAGGTCCAAAGGGGAAGTTTCACTTTGTTGGATATTCTTTACTGTCTAGGATGTGCTACGATATAGCAATCGTTGTCAGGGGCAGGTTTGCCCAGATGGTATCTGAGAGAATGCAAGCAGCCCTAAATATAGTTGACGACTGGTGTAAACAAGAGAATAGTTAATGCTATAATGTCAGAAAACCCAAATCGCCAACTTTACCCAAAAAAAAAACAGCACTACAAGGCCTTAACCAGCGGTGCTGGGAGGAACAGAGATTTCATTTGTCAAAAAAACAAAATACATTGGAGTGTATTTTGATCATAGGCTTACATGGAATACTCACATTTTGAAAACCACACAGAAAACTACTATGTCCATGATTAGATGTAGAAGAATGTGCGGTAAGAATTGGGGACTTAACCCCAAAATGACTCTATGGTTATACACAAGGGTTATTATTAGACCAATGATAACTTACGGCTTGGTGACGTGGTGGACAAAGTCGCAGCAAGTGGGAGCAATAAGGCTGCTAGGTAATACACAAAGGCTACATTTTTTGTGTATATTTTATGTTTTATATGCTTATAATTTTTACTTTTTTTATTACCTATGTAGCTATAGTTTTTTAGATTGTATTTTGACGCATTTCAATACTTGTAAAAGTCAGATGAAATAAAGAATATTGATTGATTGATTGATAGTAGGGACAAATCAAGGGATACATTTCCCGGTAAGTCTGTCTAAGGATATGACAGTTTTCCAGGCGGAAATAACTGCAATCCATCACTGCGTGGAAGAAATAGAAAGGCAGGAAATAAAGTTCTGTTCAGTTGCCATCTTCACAGATAGTCAGGCAGCGCTTAAGGTGGTATGTCACAATGTTAAAATTTATATACTTTTTAGGTACAGTTATCGTCACTATTTCAAAACAAATCTTTAAGTTATGATTATGTACGTAAACTGTAAACTTTCTATTTTAATGATATCTTTCCAAAGAAAGCAGTATTTTTTTCATAACTGTACTTAAATGAATCCATGTCATAACTTACGTGGTAACGTACCTACAAATTGGTATTGTGAAATAATTTTTTAACTACGGTACAAAATAAATACGTTAAATGATTAAATATTCCAAAACTTTTATTTTAAGCAAGTGTTCATTATCCATACTGCTGTAATTTTTAAATTAACTGTACCTAAAGATAAAATTACAATTAAAAGCTGCAAACTAGGGATTTTGTTGATGTTACCGTAATAAAGTTGGCATTTTGATAGTGAGAAATTAGTTCAGCAGTGATGTATTAAATAGCGATAGATGCGCGTTTGACGAATTTAAAAAAAATCTTCAAAATATTGAAAACTAGTTTTGTGGTTAGATATACCAATTGACCATGAGTTATGCAGTAACCATGGTAACGAATCACGTGGTTTTGTTAGCAAAGCGGCCCCTCCCAGTTAATATTTTGGCATCGTTTGACTTACTTTGTTCAATCATGATTGTATAACGGAACAATGTCTTATATATACAAGTATACCATTTTTTTCCTTGGCACCCTGACGTTATATAATCGTGGTTGAAAGTCAAACTATAATCAATAAAGTTTACTGCGGGATTATACTGGTTTTTACATAATACATAAACATAAAAACAATTTCAGTTTTATTAAATTTTTAACAAATTTAATTTTTATAGACAAAACAAAATTATGTAATGATCGATTAAATTTTGTCGATTAATTATTTCCGGAAGAGAAAAAGATTAATAATATTTACTTGAGTCATAATTAGAAATGAGATGAAAATCTGACACCGGATTCGTGATCAGCATGCAAAATTAACTGCTAAATCTAAATGATATCCATGTCGACATTTGATGAACTAAAAATTGCATTCCGGTCTTGAGGTCGACTTCCGGTTTCGTTTTTATTAAAAAGTAAGTAAAAGTTTAGATAACTCCCGGTGCCAAAGTTTTCAGAAAATGGAGACATCGTAACAAAAAACATTGTTTTCCACGAAATATTTCGTGATATTTAATACACTTTTTACTTGCATTATTATTGATGAATGTTATGTATATTCTTGCTTATATTGTTTGTATTGATCTCTTAATTTTTCTCGCAAAATAAAAATTTCATTTAAAAAACTCGATGTCGAGTTGGTCCGCTAGTTAATAATAATAATAGAATTGCATAGTATGCATAGATACAGTTAGTCGAATTTGTATCTACCGCCAAAGGAAACACACTCGTGTAAGTTAATACAAAAGTAAATTTTTTGTACTTAAAATTTAATTTTGTATTATTTCGAATCCAGAAAACGAAGAACGTATTATTTCTGCGAAAAGGTAGTTTGTAGTGCATTTACGAAAATTGATATTGTTTTGAACAGTTTGTTAGCTAAACTCTGAACCCGTAGACACGCGACCCTGGCAGGCAGAAAATTACCATACAGTGGGAACCCGGAAACTCTTCGTTTCCCGGAAAGTAAAGAATACAATGAGTTTTGTGAAGTGGAGAGTGCGGTACTTAAAAGTATATTCGAAGAAGCTTCCGAAGAATAGTTAATCACTGAGATGAAAGCAAATAATAAATACAGTGCAAGGTACTTTAAACTTAAGTACAAATATGATCACAGAATAGATTCAGTAACTTCAAAGTCATCAAGTGTAAAGGTAAGGGCAAATTTAAATTACCTCCAATCGAGTTCAAAAATTATTCAGAGATTGCAGTCTGGGTTTGGCAGAGAGGATCTCCAGATTGAAGTATACATTAGAGAGCTGTTAAAGTTAATTTTAAGTCAAGTTTCTAGTAGTCCTTGCAATATTTCTGCTCTTTAAAATATGATCGATAGTCAATTTCGTTCACTTGAGACTTTAGACAAAACTGCTGACAAGTTAGCGGCGATATTGTATCCTCTTATTGAGTAATTCTGCCAGAAGATATGATTCGACTATGCCTTCTTATGTTTTCGTGTTCATGAAAAATATCGGAAAAACTGCAGAAGTTACAACTTTAGAAACAAGATTGAGTGGGCTAATGACCTTTTTACAGAGTGAAGTTTAAAATGAACAAAAAATTGATTTAGCAACGGAAGATTTTTGTTTACCGGTTGAAAATAAATATAAATTCAATAGCCTGGTTGCCAAGAAAAATGTAAAATTACAAAGAACTGATCAGTCCTTAGCGTCCGCTACTGGGTTAATAAATTATGAGGTTTACAGGTGTATATTTTTATTATAAGTATTTTTTTGTACTTGGAATAAATTTAGTGGTTTAATTTAATTAGGAAACAAGACTGATATGCACTATTTAAAATGTTTACAAAACTAAAAAAAAAACAACACAAAAATAAAACAAAAAGGCAATTTAACTTCAAAGGTAAATGAACAACAATACATGATACAAAAATTAAAAAATTATATGGAATGATCCAATCCAAAAATTAGAATTTGTGAGACTTCAAATAATAGCTAATTGCAACTTACATTGAAGAAGACTGCCGACCGAGAGCGAACTATACCGATTCTACCGATCGTATATTATATTTTAAGTTCCAATACTTGGCCTCATTGGCAACAATGTCCCTATTCAGAGAATTAAATTTCAAGAAAATCAAAATATTAAAATATGATGCACGTGTTGCCATCTATTCAAAAAATTGTTAAACGTTAGTTTATTTGAATTCCACTCATTTTAACGGCGGCGTGAACATACCCCCTTAAGGCACTCAATTCTAAGCTAGTATGGGATTGTGTGTATGCCCCAAATAAACTATGAGACCGTAGCAAGGTTACTGTAGCCTGGGTATCGGAGCACGAGGGTCATAAGGGAAATGAAAAAGCAGATGAAATTACCAACAAGGCTCATCAATGCCATTCATTGGACCGGAACCCTTCTGCGGTGTTGCAAGGTTAGTAACAGGAACGGCTACAAGGAAGTGGGTGGCTCACAAATCTCTGGAATGGTGGAGGAATTCAACAGGACAAAGACAGACGAAACAGTTCATTACAGAACATTCGCAAAAATTTACGGTAGACCTAATAAGCAAAGACAGGAAAACATTCACAGCCATAGTAGGTCTTCTAACAGGGCACTGTAAGCTGATGGGATTATCAGATGATGACCTGTGCAGATTCTGTTACCTCGAAGAAGACACAGCAGAGCACATTTTATGTCAGTGTGACAGTCTGGAAAATGTGCGGTTTTTTTGCATTAGGAGAAGAAAATCCACCGGCAAATAGCTACACAATAGATCTGAAAAATTCGCAGTGTAATAGGCCAAAAGACCACCTCTCTAAATCTATCTATCTATATATTCTTTCCAGATGGGCGTTCCATGAAAGCCGCTTACTTCTAGAATATACAAGTAAACGGTTGGTAACAATTGTCATTAAATGTTTGAAATTCATGAAAATCTAATTTTAGTTAAATAAAATAATTGTTTTAAGTCAACATTTTTGAAATTTCACACACCTTTTAGACACTAAATCATATTTGATAAGTAAGCGCGAAATAACGAAAAATATTTTAATTGCTAAAAAAATAAACTTACTTTAGTGCCTCTTGCGGCAATTTACAGTGCGACATGTTGAGATACTTGAGATTAAGCGTAGTGCTAAAGAATTGCTTGAAGGAAATCGGAGCTTCTTTGTTCTTTTTGCTACTGTATGGGTTTTTGGAAATGTTTAAATGAACTAGATTAGTCGTACAGCCTTTTACTAAAGCACCAAAAAGCTAAAAAAAGCGTCCAAAATGATTACCTCGTGTTTGTTAACGATTATTGAGTTATTACTTACGTTTTCGAGAATTATGTCAGTGGAAGAGATGTCAATGTATTGAAGGGAGTTAGGTTGAGACAAGAAGTTGTGAAAATTCTGGAAAAAAAACAAAGAACATATGTCATTATGATAAAATTTACTAGACTGTATGCATTCGTGCTATATATTAGTTTTTGATTCTTAAGTCCACAGTTCACAAATCTGTATATGTCTGTTTAAAATGTAGGGAATTTTGAATGTAAAAATGTAATGTTGAAAAATTTCAACGACAAAAATAATGTAAATTTAGGTAATTTAATCATTTAAATTTGTAATCAGAATACAATGTTATCCTGTAGGCTAATGTGTTGACTTAAGAGCACATTACTGCTCACATTTGACGTGATAAGGCCTTCTCCATCACCAAGTTCTCTTCAACCATTTTGTAGGTCTGCTGACAAATTTCTATTGAGTCTTGTGGAATGGGGCTGTAGTCGGTGGGTGAACTAGCAAATTTCCGTGGATTTCTAGTTTATTATGGTGTTTTGTGTTGTCTGTGAATGCCGTCTTTAACATAATCTATTTGTAGGCCTTCGTACAATGTCTAATAAGCCTTTTCATCAAACATTTTTTCAGCCATTTTGTCGTACTGTTTGTTGTAAACAAGCATGTTAGTTTAGATTAATAAAAAAATAACACTTTAATATTTACTTTCAAGGTTTTGATTTTATCTTGCTTTGCATATACTTACACTTATATCGTCTTTTAGATTATTGCCACTCAAATTGAGGTACGTTAGGGTGGTAAAACTGCTTGTGTTGTTGCAGAGGGCCGCAAACAAGTTATTGACTCCTTTTGAGCTTAAACCACAATGGGACAAATTTAAATGGACTAGACCTTTATTGAGCTTGGGAATACAACTTCCCAAATAAGTAGCACCTAAAAACATACATGATAAACTTACATAAAAGGTTAGTTCTTATTCAAGGTTTTTATGTTTGAATAGCTGCTTATAAAATCAGCCTTTGTTAAAATTATATTTTCAATTCTAAGCAATTTATAATTGTATTAAACGGAGTGATTGCCGGTATAAGCAATCCCCCACTTACTGACCAACGGCTTAGGGCGGATGAGTTGGTGAGTGGTAGGGCATTCTTTTGTCCTGGGTTGAGAAATCGGCCCCGAAGACGGATAAATCAACAAATAATGGTCAACGGCATAAGAATGCAGAAAGCAAAGGGGAACCACTGCATTAACGGTTCATAGAGCACCCCCAGGAAAATCACCATATAATTGACACTGCAATTTCAAACAGTTACTACTCATGGAAAGCGGAGGCCAGGATTCGGCAGGAGAGGAGAAACATATTTATACCACGAGGCCTCTCAGGTCGTAAACATGCGAAAACCTCGTGGAGAAATCCTAAAAATAAAGAAATCTAATTTTATAACACATGGAAGTTGTATGATCAGATCCAAGACATCTTACAGAAACTTAATAAACACGAAATTTTATATATTATAGGCGACTTCAATGCAATTGGGGAAGGTCGACGAGTTCAGACTGTAGGTCCTTATGGTTTAGGACAACCTAACGATCGAGAACAGAGATTGTATGAATTTTGTAAAGAAAACGATATGATCATTGCAAACACCTGATATAAACTACCCAAGCGACGACTATACACTTGGAAAGCCCCATTTGATGATGGCAATAACCCTGAGTCTTCAAGAAATCAAATAGACTATATACTTGTAAATAAGCGTTTCCGAAATACCGTTAAAAAAGTCACTACATATCCTGGGACAGATATTGGATCTAATCATCAACCACTTGTAGCAGATATTAAACTAAGGTTAAAACGAATTCAGCGACAAAAACCAAAAATCAATGTACTTAACTTTGAGGATATAAAACATAACATTAAAAAATAATTTAACAATAAAATAAAAAACATTTTAGAACAACTAGAAGATCCAGAAGAACTATGGTGTGAATTTAAAATCCAAGTTAACGAAATCTCCACAAACAATAATTATAGAAAAACCTTAATCAAGAAAAATAAATGGATGACAGACGACATCTTGAAATTAATTAAACAACGTCGACTGATATAATCTAATGTAACAGAATATAGACACCTGCAGAGAAGAATAAAAAATGAGATCAAATTGGCCAAAGAAAAATGGATGAGAGAAAGGTGCGACGAAATGGAGAATGTAATATCTAAACACGACTTATTTAATGTGCACAAAAAACTAAAAGAAATGAGTAATATATTTAAAAAACGAGTTCCCTCTGTGCTTGTTGACAATAATAACAAAATTATTGTAAATGAGCCAGAAATATGAAAAGAATGGGAGCTGTATATATCAGAGTTGTTGAAGATGACAGGAATAATATTGCCGAATTCAACCAAAACTGTACTTTAATTACTATTAAACTGGGAATAAGCCACAATTAAAGATAAAAATACGTTTATTGACGTTTCAATTTCCACTTCGGAAATCGTTCTCAAAATACAAACAATAAATTAAACAAATTTTGTTTTTGGGTACATAGTGAAAAATTCTTCTAATAATTTAATTGTATCTGACTCATTTATATTGACAATTCAGACATACATTATGCATTTTAAAGTAGACGACTTTAAAATGATATTGCCAATATTGTTGAGTTGAGCTCCTGGGACGACTTTGCTTATAAGATAGTTCATTCGATTACATGAAATCAACTTTAACTTGAGAATATCCGTCAGAAAAAAATCATAGCATGTAATTCGTCTTTAAAAAGACAAACACATGACATGATGACATTAAAATTCTCCTGTTAGTGATTCCATAGTAAATTATGAGGGAAAAACCAGGAAAAAAACCTCATAATACTATCCCGACATTGTAAGTATTTGTTCGTGAATTTAGTTTAGCTTCAACAAACATCAAAATTCTGATTTTATATGTTACGTTATTTAAAAAACATAAATGATGTATCCTCTATATGTTACTGTATATTTACATTATATAAATGATGTATGTATATTTGAGATCTATCAAATCTGTAAACACGCATGGGATAATGAACATAGGGTTCAATGGAATAATTCAAATGTAGTCATAAAAGAAACGGATGGTAAAAAAAGAAAAATCAAAGAAGCGGCTCTAATTATGCTAAATGAGGCCAATTGTGTCGCAAATTCCTCGGCAGAATGTAGTAGGATCTGGTTACCAATATTGAAAGAGGAAGTTATTAATAAGAAAATACCAGTATTAGTAAGTCAGTAACATATAGAGGATACATCATTTATGTTTTTTAAATAACGTAACATATAAAATCAGAATTTTGATGTTTGTTGAAGCTAAACTAAATTCAAGAACAAATACTTACAATGTCGCAATAATATTATGAGGTCTTTTTCCTGGTTTTTCCCTCATAATTTACTATGGAATCACTAACAGGAGAATTTTACTGTCATCATGTCATGTGTTTGTCTTTTTAAAGACGAATTACATGCTATGATTTTTTTCTGACGGATATTCTCAAGTTAAAGTTGATTTCATGTAATCGAATGAACTATCTTATAAGTAAAGTCGTCCCAGGAGCGCAACTCAACAATATTGGCAATATCATTTTAAATTTGTCTACTTTAAAATGCATAATGTATGTCTAAATTGTCAATATAAATGAGTCAGATAAAATTAAATTATTAGAAGAATTTTTCACTATGTAACAAAAAACAAAATTTGTTTAATTTACTGTTTGTATTTTGAGAACGATTTCCGAAGTGGAAATTGAAACGTCAATAAACGTATTTTTATCTTTAATTGTGGCTTATTCCCAGTTTAATAGTAATTAATTTACAATGCCACAAGAAAATAACTTCAGAACAAAATTGTACTGACGGCCCAGAAATTATGAAGTGCGAGATATAACACGCTATAAATAATGCTAAAATTAGAAAAGCTTGTGGTCCAGATGATACACCAACTGAGTTGCTGAAACTAATAGAGAATGATAACACCGGAGTGATTCCCGCAGATTGGCTCAAATCCATCTTTATCGCAATACCTAAAAAACACAATGCGAGAAAATGCTCAGAATATCGATTAATTAGCCTAATGAGCCACACTCTTAAAATTTTCCTCAGAATACTTCACAACAGAATTAGACGCAAATGCGAAGAAGATCTTGAAGATACCCAATTTGGTTTTAGAAATGCTATGGGAACCAGAGAGGCACTTTTTGCGCTTAACATCCTATTATAAAAATGCCGTGACCAAAGAAAATATGTATTTGCATGTTTCGTGGACTTCGAAAAGGCATTCGATAAAGTACAGCATGTAAAATTAATGCAAATACTGAAAAATATCGGAATAGATGACAAGGATATTCGTGTCATTAAAAAGCTGTACTGGAATCAAACTGCTATCGTAAAAATTGGAGATAACTACACCGATGAAATCCCCATACAACGAGGAGTCAGACAAGGTTGCATTTTGTCGCCAACATTGTTCACTGTTTACTCGGATCAGTTATTTAAAAAGGCACTTGAGAGACAACCACATGGAATAAAAATCAACTGGGAACTACTTAATGTGATTAGATATGCAGACGATACAGTAATTCTATCAGATAATATTGAAGGTCTTCAAATTCTGCTTGATCGTATTCACCAGATAGGAGAGGAAATGGGCATTAAAATAAACTCAAACAAAACCAAATTTTTAATGTTTAGTCGTGACCCACATCCCGATGCAAAGCTTAAATTGAACGGAGTTCAAGTTGAGAAAGTTTAGTTAGAAAAACTACTTTTATGAAAATGAAGTCATTTCTTTGCAATAACCATCTCAATTTAGAACTAAGAACTAAGCAAAGAATGGTTAAATGCTATGTTTGGTCCGTACTTTTGTATAGTGCAGAAGTGTGGACGCTAAAAATATCGATCATGAACAAAATTGAAGCATTGGAAATGTGGGTTCATAGACGAATGCTGAAGATACCTTGGACAGCAAGGAAAACTAATGAAAAAGTACTAAGGAACGTCAACAAAGATAGAGAACTGCTAAAGACTGTTAAACATCGAAAAATGTCTTATCTGGGACATATAGTAAGGTTATGTCGATGTTATTAAGTCGATATAAAATTTGACAACTGATCCTTAAAGGCAAAATAGAGGGCCGTAGAGGTGTAGGAAGAAAACAAGTTTCTTGGTTAAAAAACATTCGTGAATGGACTTCAAATGCAGGACAATTATTCCATATTGCAGAAGTTCGAGAAGCCTTCGCAATGGTGATCGCCAACGTCGGATAATTCTAATATGGCAAGCGAAGAAGAAGATTAAACGAATTCGTGCTTTGCGTGTGAACAAGCTTTGGATGGTTTGAAGATTATGGAAATTCATATCGAAATGGTAAATGTATTGAATAGTGTATAGTGTTTCAACGTCTTTGTGCAAATCTTAATGATACAAAAATTACTATTACTGAGGAATGATACATAAATAAGAACAAGGGTTTAATTTTGACCAATGAATTAGGTCTGGAAAAGTTAGACAAGATGAGTGCTGCAGTTCACACTACAATCATGAATGTCAACAATAAATCTCAGAATAAACTGACCTCAATTTTTCTACTCCAAAGCATCTCAAGTAGTCGAATGCCTCCAAGAGGGTTACTACATTAGTTTTTAATCCTCAATTCTTAATTACAGACTAGTTTAACTACGATCCTAAATGTAAACAGCAAAAGGGAGAGTAACTGTACCCCGAAGCAAGTGAAGAGGTCGAAATGGTCCAAAAACCTAAATAAACTGATAGACCGGTTGTTTTTTTCTCCATTCGTAATTATAGATGAGATTTGGATTTACAATTAAGATCCTGAGCGTTAGCAATGAATCGCAAAGTTGTTTCGGTTGTTCTATTCCGAAGCAACTAGAGAGATGAA